TGATCAGAATTTGCACCAACCGATTCAAAAACAGGTGTTTGATGCTGAGGGCAAACTGTGAGAAATCAACGTTGGCTAATATACTATCGAGCTCTTTTAATCTAAATCATCTTCGAACGCTCCAAACATGCTAAAACTGCAGCGCAAAGTTTTGAAGCGAGGAGTCTTTTGCTGTGCGTGGCATACTACTGAATACGCGAAGACTGCAAGACTAGGTAAAAATTTGCACGAAAAGTTGCAGAGATATCGAAATAAAACCAAATCCAATTCTTTCTCAAAAAGAAGCTTAACGCAAGTGTATTAGCGCTCAGATGACGATGCCGTGATGTCACTAAGTCAATGAGTAAGAAATTCTGCACAGAAAGAAGTCAATAATTCGCTTCAGATGGGGCACCGCCGTTAGGATTCGCGTAGTCACAAGGGCATATTTGAAAACAGCGTTTGGAGCTCATTCAGTAGATATAAGTCTTTTTGTAAAAGGCCGAGTTAAGTTTGATATCTTCCCTTGCAATTTTGAAAGTACAAATCTAAAAAAATTTGGCTCTAAGTGCTGGAAAGATTGCAAAAAACTGGATCTCCGTATACTCCAAAACAAAAATCGTATATATAACTGCTGTATTCTTCCTCTGCTAGAAATTAGAGGGACGGGATTTCTTGTTCTGTCCAAGGCAAGTCTAACGTTCGTATCACTTTCTACCGTTTCTAGAGTACTACAGTAGATTTTTCTTCTCAACGCGTTAGGATTGTTTTAGAAAATCAGTCAAAAGTTGTTCACATGAATCGGAAACTTTGCATTATCAATCAGCCTACTGTTTTCCCGATAAACAAATCCATCAATGTCAACATAATTTCCATCAAACTTCATTCCTCCACTTATAGGGTGGAGATGGAGAAAGTGCGAGCAATCAACCCTCTGGAGTGGGACAAGGAGCTCAACCTAGCTGGCCTCAACCTGGCGCTCAGGTAATGAGAACAGATAATGTCAAAAGGCAAGCAAAAATGCTTGGAAACTTTCTTTGTCAGTCACCATTAGGCTGCCTATAAACGAACAGGATTGAATCGTTAGGTCCCCTTAAGGCGA